GGGCAGGAGCTGACGGGAGTAGAAGGCTATCGGACAATCACCTGAGCGAGACTCGACAGTGCCGTCCTCGGCGATGGTAGGAGAATAGTCAGTAGAAGGCTCGTCAGTAGCTGGACGAGTAGGCGTCAGTCGGGAAGCAGTGGTAGGGGTAGGTGGTGGGAAGCGAGGGATACGAGGATGAGAGGAATCAGGAGATGAAGGGAAGACCTGAGAAAGCACTGCTCCTACAGCGAAGTCTGACGCGTCGGTGGTAAGGATAAAAGGGCGGTCAAAATCGGGTAGGTGAAGAATCGGTGCGCATGTCACCGCCTTCTTGAGGGCGCGGAAGGCGTCCTCGTGGAGGGGTGTCCAAGCCCAGGGTGGGTTCTTCCGGAGGAGGGTGGAGGTAAGGACGTAGGAATACCTAGCGTATCCCYGGATGAAGTTACTATAGTAGCTGGTCAGGCCTAGGAAGCTGCGAAGCTGCTTGGCGGATGTAGGAGCGGGCCACTCCGCAATAGCAGTGATCTTCGCGTCGTCCATGTGAAGACCCTGGTCAGACACGTAGTGTCCTAAGAAATTCACTTTGTGTTGGGCAAAGCGGCACTTGCTTAGCTTGGCGTAGAAGCCATGTCTGCGCAAGCGATCAAGGACGTCGCGGAGGTGTCTGAGGTGCTCCTCAAGGGTACGACTATAGACCAGGATATCGTCGAGGTAGACGAGAACGTAATGCTCCAGGATGATCCTCAAGATGTCGTTCATCACCCTCTGGAAGGTAGCGGGTGCGTTGGTGAGGCCGAACGGCATCACCGTGAACTCGTAGTGGCCGAATCGCGATCGGAACGCTGTCTTCGGCTGGTCGGCTGCAGCGACGCGGATCTGATGGTAACCGCTACGAAGATCAATCTTCGTAAAGAAGCGGTTGCCTGCTAGGCGGTCGAACAGCTCATCGGAACGAGGCATGGGGTAGCTGTTCTTAACCGTGTAGCGGTTAAGGCCGCGGTAGTCGATGCAGAGACGAAGAGTTCCATCCGCTTTGCGAGCAAAGAGGACGGGTGCACCCCACGGGGAGTTGCTGGGTTTAATGAAACCCAGTCTCAGGAGCTCCTCAAGCTGACGCTTGAGTTCGGTGGCCTCGGGATCGAGAGTCTGTAGGGTGCCTGATGGTGAACACGATATTCAGGCACGAGCTGAATGGAGTGCTCGACGTCACGCATCGGTGGGATGCCGGCATACGAGAACGACGATGGGAAAACGTCGTGGTACTCTCGGATGAGGTCACGAACTGCGGGCTCCAAGTCAGCCGTATATCGTGCGAGTTCCTCAGCGTCAGCGTCAGCGCGCGACGGCGGGGTGGACTCGACGGACGGCGGAGGGACGGAAGTAGAGATGGGAGCCATGGAGATAGAGGGGGGGTCTGGGTCCAGAGGGATGAGCCCGGCGTTGGGACAGGGTGGATCATAGTGTAAGAGATCCGTCACGTCCACCATAAAGAAGGTGACGTCGTCCTGTCGAATGAAGTGAGCGAACTGCCGAGGCGAGGTGACAGTGATAGAGGGAGATGGTGTGGGCACTGAAGGCTCGGGGGAGGAGGATCGGGGCATGGCGTCGTCGTGGTACCTATGAAAGGTACGCGATACGTCTGTCCAYACTTCGTTTTGAGAACGAGAGTGTTGGTCGCCCAATCGGCCTCGGTGCTGCCGAATCGACGAGACCACGGAGTGCCGAGAATGAAGTCGTACCCCGTCTCCATCACATCGAAATGTGCAGAGGAGCGGTGGCGACGAGACGCAGGGGAACGCTCAGTCGGCTCGAGAGTGAGGAAGAAGGGGAGGTCGGTGACCGTCTGATCGAAGAAGCGCTGGGTCTTGTCATCCGCTAGGGTAACGGAGATGAGAGTCGGAGACCCTGTCGTGGGTAAGCGGGCTTCCTTCACCACGCGTGGGTGAATGAAGTCGCCCTGAGAACCGGAATCCCACAGCGCCGAGTACACCCTCGTGGAGGTCCCGAGTCGTACGGGGATGATCGGGAGGGTGCGATCAGGGTCAGAGAGAATGGCGAGAAGGCGACGCAGTGCAGCGACATGGAGGGTGAGTCGCTCCTGACGAGCCTGAAGCATGCTCAAGTCCAGAAGAGAGGACACAACGTCCTCGCGAGAAGCAAGCTGCTCGCTGCAACGGGCTGAGCGAATGGCTCGACGCGTCGGTAGTCGCGGCGGGGAAGGAGAGGAGTCGGTGGTCTGCGGAGGCGCAAACGGTACTGCGACAGAGGGCTGAGTACACTCTGTCGAGTCCTGCGATACCTCAACTTTAGTAGCGAGAGGGGCGAACCGCGACGGAGATGTCGGGAAACCCACTACTGAGAAGGGCGCAGGTGTACACTGCACCGTGGCTAGGAGGCGCCGCGGGGACGTGAGGCGCCGGGGGGGGACTGAGCACGACGCTGACGAGAAAGGTCAGCGTAGTGGTGGTCGAGGACGGCAGTGTAAGGGCACCGCGAGGAGGTATGACCGTCCAAGCGGCAGCGCAAACACCCACGCCGGCCCAGAATAGCCGCGCGCTCCTCAGGGGAAAGGACACCACGAGGAGGGACGAAGCCCTGAGGGAGGTCCTCCTGAGGGACCTCGGGGGGCGATGTGCCAGCGTGACCGGGGCGGCTGCGTGCCCGAGAGAGGGCAGAGAGCGCGAGCTGAAGGCGCTCAGCTGCAGGGAGGGTAGAGTCCTCCAAGTG